AGAGAGAGAGAGAGAGAGAGAGAGAGAGAGGAAGTACCCTTCTAAAGCTCCCTCCTCCCGTCTTGGTGACTTTCCCCTCATAACGTCGTAGATCTAGATCCTAGATATCCGGTCGATCGTTTGTAGATCTGTTAGTTTACAGGAAAGTTCCACCCACGCCGTGACTAGAAATAGATGTTCTAATGATTTCCGTGCGTTGAAAGACCTCACATCCCCTCTGTACTGCAGGCTGAACGTGACAAGTCCGATAATACCAAGGCTTTCAGAAAAACACGTTCGCGTAAACCTTAACTTATTTAAGGCAGTGGGCCGTCTCAAAACAACGTTCTGTGATCTTCTGTAGCTGCATGTGTGGCATCGAATAAACAATTACTGAGAAAGAAAGGGATCAGAAATGTTTAACGTTAAAATTAGAAAACAATTGATATACAAGTAAGCGAACTGAGAGTCCCGGCCCAGAAAATATCTCTTGTGAACTAAATATTGGACATATGAAAAGTGCATGACCTTGAATCAAGGATATTCGGAAAGAAAGGAAAACGAAAAGCAGGCAGTTTGTTTGTATGTATGGTACTACAGCGTTTTAGTGAATGCAGACATTAACCAAATTACCATAATGCAAGACTCTGGGTGTTCTAGAAACACAATGATTCAGCATTTGTGTGGTCATGATAAGCCGTAACGAAATGATTACTATTTCAGACTGATAATTCGTCCTTGTGACAGTCCCTAATTCCCAGGCGGAGACGGCGCTGGTTGGTCCTTCCGGGGAGCCCCCGCCGGGTCAAACCATTTCGCGCCAAAAGTGGGGGAGGATTGGGTGTCGTTGACGTGAACACAATGTGATGACGCAACGGTGTCCAGGTGTCATTACACCCTGTTTATAACTGTCACCAGGCAACGGGTAAATAGAAAGTGAAAAACGAGATGGGAAAGTGCAATTGGTCTCGAACAACGGTGAAACTGCTCTCTGTTATATAAGAGAAGTGGGGAAAGATACATATTTGCACTTTTGTAGTTACATTTTAAAGCTTTTTCAGACATGCACATAAAATTGAACTGGCCTTGGTGTATGCATCTCTTTTATGCAACAAAAAAAATTGCAAGTGGTGTTGGATTCTTTATTCTCTCAAGTTCTTTTTTTTTTCACAAATCAATATTTTGCTGCCATGGAAAAATGTGAACTAGATCTAGTTAAATTTTCTAATTGAGGAAGATATTGGACAATGTTGGATGGCACGGACCTTCAATTTTATTGAAGTGTAAATGAGACTTACAAAGTATGGTGGTAATAACCTGTGAGATGTACATCACCATTATAATTTGAGAAAAATATTGCTTTACATCACTTTGCTAACTGTATTCTACAATATTACATCTTGTTACATCACAGTTGAAACTTTTATTTGCAAATATAAGAAGAATCCTTAGATTGGTAATATGAAGCTGAACTAAGAAATTACCTAACTTTTGCAATATAAAATTGGACCTTGATTGTATTCATGGGAACATATAGTAATACTTTGATAGTCATTGAAATTCAACATGTGCTGTGAATTGTGACATCTTCCAAAAATATAGATATGTCTACAAGAGTCATGAAATCTAACTCTCATCCTTATGTTACAATTGTATGCTCATAAATGTACAAAGTACTGTCAAGCCAGAATCTAAATCAAACTTCTTTGTCAAAAACACTCTCTGATCTTGACTGGTAGTGGTAATATCAAATTACCTTATATACATAATCTGTTACTTAATCATTGTTTTCAATGATTATGATTACAAAAATTAAAAAAAGAATGTGAAAGCTATGTACTATGTACCGTGCTGCCTGTGAAGTCATTATAAGAAGTGTAAGAGGTCAGCACCAGGCTTGAGCACTCATCAGTAAGGCACTAACAATTATCACATTTTAATTAGTATTCCTCGTCTTTTGGTCAATTTTGGTCAATTGCTTACGTCACATATCCGTAAAGTCTCATGTGAATAAGGTAATATGTCTGTAACTGTAACTCTCGCGATATTACATTTGAAGTGATTGGTCATTAATTATCCTGATGAAGGAGACACTGGTCGTTGAAAATTGGATCTCTGTGTTGGAATAAAGTTTTACTGTGATTACTACATGTACCAACACAGACAAACTTTCATGATATTCCTCATCTTCTTTTCACAGCTGAGACTTCCATGAGTCTGATCCAGCCCTGAAAGACAGAAAGCCATAAAAAAATTACAACAAACAGGTCACAGTGCAAATACCCATGCTACAAAAATCAGGCCATGAAGAAAAATTGTAATCTGTAGTTTGTTTGTTGTACTTATTGTTTTATTACTGTCACTATAATCTGTACAAAAATATATCTTATGCAATAACTGTTAACTTACTCTGCATCTGCCCTGGACAGAGTTCTTCCAGAGTGCATGATCTCTGCAGCCTGGGCCACCACTGGGTCCCTGTTCATGCTCGCTACAGCTAACACATTGTCTCCCCTAGGATAGAATAGGTCAGTCATGGGATTTTAAAATATGTTACACATTGCACTGCAAGGATGGTACACATCACACTGCAAGTAATTCTTTATATATGTAATATTGTAATACCTAAAGTTATGGACATCACGTATGGAAAGTAGGCACATGCAAGGGACAACAGCTATTGCAAGAAAAAAGAGCATCTATTCTCATTTAAATCTTGATATGTTTGGTGTATTTAACAGTTCACAGAAGGTACATTTTGTGCTATTTCCACTAATGCCATGATTACTATCATATATCAAAACCATACAAATGTATAGGATGTGCTGTATCATAGAGAGAACTTACTTGAGATAGTAGGCCACAAACTGCATGTCATCCAGACTGCCTTCTATCACAACATCCTCAAATCCAGCACCATGGCCTGCACCAGGACAACAGAAGTCATAAGGATACAGGAAAACTGAGCATGTAGTAGCATTAAAGACATGTTAAATACCCACTTTCAGTAGGCTGATGGCTTAATATTTTTAATAATAATCATTGTAACCATATTCAAAATCCCTTAGCATGCATGAGTAAAAATGTCATTTCCTTGTTGGTTTGTCATCAACATTTTCTTGGATACAATACATGCAGAGTGAACATGTTTCTAAAGTTTTGAAAGAAAGAATGTGTAGCATTTGGAAGATGAGAACAAGTACCGGCATATCTAAGGCTCTTGCCGTACTGCATGGTCCAGAAGAAGGGAACACTGTTGAACTCCACACCCTGACCCAGCATGTTCAGAGCTGCACACCGACCTGGGGACAAAAATATGCCAGAAGACAACATGTAGGGCAGACCAGAAGAATAATGTGGGGGAGAATCTGCATGTAGCTACATACAAAAGCTTAAAAAAGCAGGTTAAGCAAGAAGACACTGTTGCAAGTAGATATGGACCCCACAATGAGTTCTTGTGCAGTGCTTCATCTACTGTAAATCACTTTATGTTACCGGTAGCGATCTGAGAAAAATGGACATATTTGCAGAACTATTCGTTCGCAGTGGCAGCAGGTGCATCAAAAATAAAGTTGGCAAATTATTTGTTTGTGGTAATGATAAGTTCACGGCACAGAAATGACTGTGAAAACTGCAAATATAAAAGTACAGCAAAAAAATTGTGAGTTTCTGTAACACAATCTGATAGTAAGGACAGGACATGCACCATGTAAAACAACAACTAAGCCTTTATAACAGCTAGAAACTTGGGAGCTTTTTACTCATATCAAATCGTCATGCCACAAAAAATACTGTTGTCCTCACCATGTGCCTTAGCGAGCTGCCAGTGTCCAATGGTAACCTTCTCTCCATCTGCCATAGGTAGTGGGAAGTGTACGATGTCACCAGCTGCAAACACATGCTCCTGACTGGTCTGCATTGTCTGGAAACAACAGATGGATACAGAAATGAAAAATTAATGTCACTCTCTCTTAATCCACTTCAACTTACAAAAAAACTTCTAATGTTTCAAGACAAGTGGTGGCAAGGTGGCATTGTAGTTAGGGTTGTCGACTCAAAGATCTGAAGGTTCTGAGTTCAAATCCCAAGTGAGTTACAACAGCCAGGGTTTGCATTCTGGACCTTCTGGTCCCAAATCAGAGGTGCTGACCAATGGATCATAACATTTCCTGATAATTTCATCCTTTAAATGTATGTGTACTATTGGGAAATAAACAATGGGTATAGTTTATAGAAATTAGTACATGTACCTTGTCCACATCCAAGGCCCCCTTGGTCATCTCAATGCCGCTGTCACTGAGGAACTCAGTGTTGGGTGTGACACCGATGCCAACAATGCACAAGTCTGCTGGGAGGGTCTCTCCAGACTGCAGTACCACTTCTTTCAGCTAGGAGGCGTTTGTATGTTCATGTGAGAAATTTGAGAGAAACCTTCTACACACTTCAGTCATAAAATCTGAGTTACCTGGAGATAATTTTCATGGTAGAGAGGTAGCCAACAATCTAACATCAAAATCGTTGTATTTACATGTATGCCTACCAAAACACTCCAAATCTGATTTTACTATTGATGATGATATCAAATGCTTTTAGAATGTAAGGGAACCATATAATTACAGATCTTACTTTGCCATTTTCTCCTTTGAACTCTACCACTCCATTGTTCATGTAGAACTTCACTCCCTTGTCTTCATGCATCTGTAAAAACACAAGAAACCTTTAAGACTTAACCAAATGAATGTAAAGAAGTGTAAAATGATGGCAAATACTTAAAGACACTCATTCGAATTCAAGGCACAGCTGAGATATACAGTACCTTTCTGAGCATACTGCCGACTTGTTCCCCCAGGACTCTGCCAAATGGAGTACTGCTGACCCCTACAACAGACACTGACGATGCCTTTTCTGCAAAGTATGCTGCTACCTCCATACCTGATATGGACCAGGAGTAACAACAACGAATGTAACATAAAATCTTAAAATGACATCATTGCTTTATAGTTTCAAAAGACTTGAGTTTGCTGCAATATTCTCACAAAAACTGGCAATATGGACAAAGAGTAACAAACTGTTACATTAAATCTTAAATGACATCAAAGTTTTATAGCTTCAAAAGGTTCAAGAGCATGATTTACTGCAACATTCCCTAAAAAAACTGGTGATACAGACAAGAACTAACAACAATGTAATATGGACAAGGAGTAACAAAAATGTAACATTAGATCTTAAAATGATATCAAAGTTTTATAGTTTCAAATGGTTCAAGAGCACAATCTGCTGCAATACTCTGACAAAAACTGGCGATATGGGCAAAGAGTAACATTGAATCATAAAATGACATCAAAGTTTTATAGCTTCAAAAGAGCATAATATGCTGCAATGTTTGATAAAACCAGACAATGAAAATGGTGGTGTAGAAATGTCACTGTACCGATGAAGCTTGTTCCCACAATGACCACCTTCTTGCCGCGGCCCTGTTGAGAGATGTAGTTGCCGTCAGCAGGACTGCGGAGCAGGCAGACGTTCTGTAGGTCACTGCCAGGAGAGGTGCAGGGGCGTGGTCTGTGGGAGAAGGGGGGATGTTACTGTAGAATGCAATTTGTTGTGCTTAAAGCAGGTATGTATGGCATCCTTCCATCAATATGGACCATAATGGTAAGATCCTAATTGATATCAGCCCTACAGCAATTGGCTGAACTGTCCTATATGACAATGACAGTCTCTGCCATATAGGGCACATCAATTCGGTTGCAAAGTTCTTTTCTTCGGATCTGCTTTTCTTCTTTGCAATACAACTACACCAAATTTGTACAAAAAACAGGTTATTACACCAAATGCTTTCGATAACATGCACATTTTCATAAATTTCATATGATTTGCAATTAATGTTAACGAGTCTCAAATATGGTACAAGGCCAGTGTCAATGTTGAAATCACATTTGTTTCGACATGTCTGTCCTTCCAGGCTTACTTGATGTACTGCAAAAAACTCAATCATTGTTGAACTTCCTATTTATTAATTATTAGCAGTAATTCAGATTTTTTGAGTCTGCAAATGCTAATAAAGTTTTCTAATATGTCTTATGTCTAAAGAATTTTCAATTATAGTATACAGTAAGGTAGAAAAAGGACAAAGTTTAACTCACTTGCCACCTGTTGCAATGAGGAGTTTGTCATAAGCTATAGTCTGACCATCTGCAAATGTCACCACCTTAGAGGGGCAGTCAACAGACGTGGCCTGGGGGAAAGAAATGAAATAAGACTCTGTAATAAGTAAATACAAATTATCCTAGCAACACACTGTCAGACTTTTTTTCTCGTCATCTCAAATTTGTTTGACTTAACATTATGTCAAGCACCAAAGGTGCAAGACATGGGGGGGGGGGAGGGTCCAAGGGGGCATGCTTTCCGGGGGAAATTTTGAAATCTTGACCGGGCCCTGAAATGCTATTTTCCTGCATTTGGAGGTGAAAATTTTGCTGGTAGACTAAGCTTTGTTTGATGACCCAAGTCTAGATCTCTTTCCATATCTTTACATGCTGATTTTTGACCATGAAAGATGACGAATTGGGCAAAATTTTTGTCTGCCTGGAGGAACATCAAAATTCCGTCAAATGACAAAAAGACAGACGCTGGCTAGAACACTTCTGGTGATTGAAAACCAACTCATAGTTCAAGAAATTTAAGAAAAGAACATCAAATAATGTTTCCCAAACATTTGCCTTACCTCTTTCTCTGTTAGAACTTCAATGTCATACACAGAGAAGAAGTTCTTGTCCCTGAGTGCCAAGGCCTCTCCTGTAGAATCCAGTGCCTGAAAAAGGTAAGACGTTACTATTAGAAACTTGAAACATAAAAGATAAAAAGCATGATATTTAAGTGAACGTGAACATGGATTTGGGTCAAATATCACCCCTATGTGTGTGGGACTGGTAGAAACCAAAGGATCACCTTTTGCAAATATGATTTTGGGTTGAAAGGCACCTAAACTGAAATTACTAAATTATTTGTCCTTTAAATAAGAGTTTCAGAACAACTCCCCCTTGGGCCAACAGTCGTGTATTTTATTTATCAGACAAAACGTCACATATTTAGAAAGTGATTTTCACCTTGCTCAGTTTGGGCCTGTCGTAGGGTAGGTGTGGCTCCTTGGTAGCCATGACAACTCTTCCTTTGAAACCTTCTTGTCTGAGAGTCTCTGCACAGGTTATAGCAGCACCACCTGTTAAAAGGAGAACAATCAGATGGCATAAGAATGTAACAATGTACAGTTGTACATAGTGAGTAAAGGCAACATAGCAAACCAATTGATATAAAAGATGTAAGAACTTACTCATCATCTATGATTCAGCCAATCTACTGATAATTTTATGAAATTTTGGGCTCCTTTTGCATGGCTTTATATAAGGAAGGAGAACATTGTAGCAACCTGTGCATTCATGATCATCTAATATCTTACAATGTAGGTCAGTAATTTACAATATTCATTATTATTAGGTTCTAGAACAGTATGCATAATACGTGATAAGGAATTATCCTACCTCCTCCCACAATGAGATACACTGTGTCATTGTCAGGTGAGTGACAAGACATTTCCTTCATCCTCTTGGGCTTCTCAAGAACCTAAAAAGGATTAGAAAGTTACAAAATGTACCTTAACAAACAACACGAAGGAGATGTGACACCAAGAACATTTACGAGATCTAAAAGCTAATTTCCACCATTTATTATTATAAAGGCACCTTCATCAAAGGCAAGTCAATAATTCAAAACAACCAAAATGACTTTGTGACTGACATATCATGATATTAAAGCGCACCCCACCAAAGATATTTGCATTAGAAGTATTTGCATTAATATGATAATCACCAGTCTTATTAATGCATAATTTATGTTTCTGAATAATAGCACAACATTGCCTTCTTCATGCCAAGCAAACTCAATTTTAGAAATGGTTTTCAAGCCGTATGAGCTTGGATAATATGCTGAAAGATCATTCTTGTCGCAGTCTTGTAATGTATGCATTATAAAGTTGCAAGGTTGACAGAGAAAGTCAACATGTCACCTTCTAATTGAGAAGTTTTATACTTACGCACTTAATATACTTCAGAATGAAGGAGGGAAGAGAAGCATTGTGTAAACGGACATCATATTGTAAAAATGGATGGTGAACTGGCTTAGATAATTAGTAAGAACACACACACACAGACTCTGAATATATGTAGATTCAGATAGGGTAAGGCAGAGTATGGAATAAACAATTCAAGCTTCAAAACATCATCCACATTATATTACACTCTTATCGTTGTCATTTCAAGGGGCTGAGTGCTTTTGAAATTTGACAATGAATACTCAAACATGTATAATAATAATAATTTTACTAAAAGTGCAATATTATATATAATGTATATAATAATAAGGACAAGCTGTAAATCAATTTATAAAGAAGCAGCATGATTACCTTTTTATTGGTCTTCACAACCACATTATCATTCTCGACAGTGACCTGAAAAAAGATACAAATGTCATTATGATTGATCAAATACAGATATTTGAGAAGCTTGGATGTCAACATCATATCTACATGATGAGGTACATGTATAACAACTATCAGTTAAAACACATTTGTAGTATACAAAATTTGTTCAGCTAAACTTTACATACCAGTATTACATAATTGTACATATTACGTAATGTATCAACTTGGTAGAGCAATGAAGTTATCTAACCTAGTGTTTTGATAATAATACTGTTTATATATTATAATTGTACAGTGTAATATAGTCCAGTCAACTGTTGAAGTTTTTAAGTGCAAGTCAAAAGATGCAGACCTCAAACTTGGGGAGACTGTCCAGTCCAGGGAAGTCTTCAATGTCTCCAGTCTTGGCGTTGAAACATGCCCCGTGCCATGGACATCGCACTCTGCCATTACACAGTACCCCTGGACCATGGTACGAGGAGAATCATGAAAAAATTCCATTATTACAAACAAAACTTTACCTGGTAGTAACACACACAGAAGTAGGTTGAAGTCATATCACAACATTGTAATTGTAACAGTTGGGTTCAAGTGCCACCAACTGACCAGTCAAAAGGTCCATATCTTTTGGCCTTGTGGTAAGTGCATTGGGTTTGTGAGCTGGCGGAATGGGTTTGGCATGGGTTCGATTCCCATGAGCCAGGAGACTGTACTGCTGGCCACTTTGTAAAGAGCCTTTTGGATGTTGTGGCACTTAAACCTCTGAGTGTTACATATTAACTATATATTAGTCCCTAATATGTGTATATAGAAGAAACTTACCTTTGACCAAAGGTGCCCCATAGTGGGTGCATTTGTGGCCAAGAGCACTAAATTCTCCATCCTCCTTGATGAGTAATGCCTTCCCTCCACCAACCTCTACTTCTCTCATCCTGGAAAAACATAGAACCAAGGAACCGTCATTGGGGGTTGAAGGAAAGTTTAATTCAGGTTGTGTTTTCCTTAACAAGTCATGTATGATGTAACTAACTTTGAACTTGGTAAACTAGAGGGATCAAGACAAAATGAGAAGAGGAAAGGAAGGAAGAACTGAAGACATGTACAGAAGGAATCAAGAAAAGAGAGAAAAAGAAAGGTCTGAGGAGGAGCAGTGATTGAGCCAGTCTGAATTTTTTTCCGTCAGCTCGATTTTGTTTGACTTAACATATGAATTATGTCAATCCCCAAAGGTGACATCCAAGGGGGAGTCTAGCGGCATACCTCCCTGAGAAAATGTTGACTCTCTGGCTGTCTCTGGCTGTCTCTTGCATATTGAGGGATAAATTTTGCTGGTAGACCAAGCTTTTAATGGCAATTCTCTTTCTATATCTAAATTACATGCTGATTTTTGTCCGTCAAAGGTGACAGATTGGGCAAACTTTGCCTCTGTGACGACCAGCAAAATTCTGTAAAATGACGACAAGACGTACGCTGGCTAAAACACTACAGAGGAGAAGAAATGACATATGATGACTTACTCTCCATCCTGCATGTCAGAAGCCTTGCACACCTTCACCTCAATGGGTTTGCCCACATCTGGGGGAGGGAGAGACTTGGCAGAGGTGGTACCTCCCTGCTTACCTGAGATATCAGCTGAAATTTTAACAAGAAAAATAGCTTTCAATATGTCTTTTCAGTGTACTTGTCCAGCAATAAAGACATGTTTTCAAATTAATTTATTGTTACATGCATTAATTCCTCAAATTGAATGTAATATCAAAAATCATAAAAATTTGAAACTTAAATTGGGACAATAAACATTGGTCTTAGAGCCTCAGAGGGACTTAAAAACCACCTTGACCACCACTCCTTAGTAACCTGGTCTGACACAATATATTTTATCATTGTTTTATTAGCCATCAATACACAGCAAATAGTCCATCACTTAATAGAGTTAATAATACCACATGTTTGATACTAGGAGAGGTAGCCAGGGACAGTTATAAGACAATGTTTTAGTAGTGTTCAAATGATCAAATTGTAACTTGAAGTTAGCTCCATGCTGAAATAATTGACCTATGACAAAAAGTGCTGATCAGTAGTTGATACATGCAGATCCTGTGAGTGTGTCATTGGATTAGATTCTTTGTTAGAATCAAGACTATTTCAGTTAGTTTTTGGATTTAGTCACGCTCAACAGACTTAAGGGATAGTCTCAAAACGCAGCACATTTCCTACAGACAAAACTTCTGCCTCAGGGATTTCTCAATCAAGGCTGTTTCATTGAAATCTATTATTTTTCTTTCCTCCCTCTTCTTCCTATTCTAATTTTTTCAGTATGAAGATGTAATATAATCCTATCCACAACCTAAAATGGAACAGCCAAGTTGACAAACCCCATAAATAAGGGAACCATGACCTGAAACAGAATTTTGTTTGTAGGTAATGTGCTGATTTTGAGGCTAGCCATTAAGAACATACAATTTCCTCCTTGATCATGTGAATCCTGCTGCATGCTGCCTGGAGAAGCTGAAATGTGCAACATTGATAATGCCAACTTTATCAATCAAAAGCAACAAAGATAAGCTTGCCATTGCCCATGCAGTTATACAATGTACATGCTGAAAGTGTCATAATTATGAAAAAGGTCAATCTTTAATGCTAAATACCAGGCAGTAACATTCCCAATTGGCAAATAAGGAAAGGGATCATTCCGATTTTCATTCGTTAATTTTATTTTTTATCACTGAAAGAACTAATCATTTTGATTGGCTGATCACTGACACTGGTTGATTTCAGGAAATTTGAAAAAGTTTCCCCTTGTTACAATTTTAACTTGTGGTGGTGAAATTAAGAGTGAGTAAAGTGACCATGCTAACTGTGTCTCACCCTCTGAAGTTTTTTTTGTTCCAGGTACACTGATGGTGGCTAAGGAAAGAAAAAAGTTTGGACAACTGAAATAAACTCACAACTTTAATTTGCAGGTGTTTGTACATCATTTTGGATATGATATGTAATACTCCTAGTGCTGTGTACCTAAACCCACATTCAGGTTCAGGTCCAGATTCAAGTCCAGAGCTTTAGGTTGAGGTCTGGACTTGTAAGTCCAGAGACCTTAAAATCCAAGGCATATACAAAATATGGAAGGGACGTTTCAATGAATATTTCCCAATGAAAAATGGGGCATAATTACATGTACCACAAAATTTTGTAGCGCGCAGTGCACAAAATGGATTCAAGTCCAGAGCTTTAGGTTGAGGTCTGGACTTGTAAGTCCAGAGACCTTAAAATCCAAGGCATATACAAAATATGGAAGGGACTTTTCAATGAATATTTCCCAATGAAAAATGGGGCATAATTACATGTACCACAAAATTTTGTAGCGCGCAGTGCACTACCAGTGTTTAGAAGCAAGATATGTTGTTTTGGTGGCACAACTGGCTAAAACACAGTGGGCGGCCAGTACTAGCTAGATGATGACAAATGACATTGTTTTCTCCATTTTGCAGTGCAAATCTTTGATCTATTGAAGATTTTAGGTGGTTTAGAACAAAAAGGGAATGCCAGATGATTACATGTATGTAAGTCTGGAACTCATTCCAGACATTCATTTTTTTTGGACTTGAACCTAAACATTTTTACAAGTCCAGAACCGGTACACAGCACTAAATACTTCTAGTGCCAGAATTACATTTTTTAAGACTGTGCTAAAAGAGCTTCTTTTGGAATGTGAAGACTGTTGTTGACCTGGTTGCCATAGGCAACGGTTAACACTGTCAGTTGACACAAGTGATTATACTTACATGCCTGACTGAGTTTTGTGTTCTGTCAGTGAATACCTGACTGACTCTTGATTCTTCTCTGTTTACTTAAGCTAAAATAACTCGTCTTATGTTTCATCACTAATTGATGAGTCAAAATAGGTTCAAGTTTTGTACAGTTTGAAAAAAATTGAAAAGTCTCCAGTTCTATGCAACAGAATATACTGATTCTACAAATCACTACAGCAAGCATGACTAAGAATTCCAGTGTACACTACATGAACAGGTGGCTGCTTATGGAAAGGAAACAAGATATCATGTTACTCAAACTGTTCAGTTCTTCAACTTCTTTTGAAAAACAACAGAGTGACATAACACTAATAACTCAAACTCATGTCATAAATTTATGGGAAAAAATTTCATGTTACACTTACAACTTACATTATTTGATTTCTACAATCTATATTTTGTACATTCAAAGTAGATGTTATGTCTGTCCTTTTAATTTCTGTCCTACCTTTCTAAAGTAAGATCTTCTATGTAATGCTATTACACATACAAGCGAACTTTATATTCCACATTCAATTTTTGGTGCTCTAGCATTCCTTACAAGTTATAATATAACCTTCTCAAAAGTGTCAAACTGTGACTTACCGGATCCCCTCTTTTTAGACACTAAAGAACCCATCTTGTCTGCCTATTCTGCACACGAGAACTGCAAATTAGGGTCTAGCAGCGATACGGCTTCTGCTGCAAAAAAGTATGGCAACGTCACTACATGTTTAACCACCTGTTGGATTCTGCCTGTAACGAAGCACAACAGAGTCAGTTTCTTGGATACAAGCATGGAATGTGATCTCTGATCGGAGTGTAGCTGACTGCATGTTTGTAGTACCTGTACAAACCATGGTGACAAAGGAATTCAGACTCACTGGTGACGTGATTTGATAACCATTAGTCTGAAATACAGTACAGTCTGTTCTTGTTTTCTCACACAAAATCATACACCCATGTATGATTGAAAACTTAATTCAGAATTTCTTTTTGTGACAAATAACTATTCATTATTTTTTTGAAACATGAAATATATTGGAATTTTTTGTGTTATTTTCAACATTTAAAGATTAACTAAAAGCCTTCACCTTCATGTAATGAGAACATTAATAAAAAAATCTGGACTTTTACCTTTTCAACAAAGCCTATGTACACAATAGCCATTGAAATCTTAACTCTCTGATGGTGTACAGTATTATGTATAACTTGTAAGTGGGTATCAACATAGGACATATCTTGACAATGGCAAGAGACAAATATGACCCTTGACATGTCTTTCTTCTTTTAATTAAAGACTTTATTGCGGGTGAACTAATGGCTAGATTCTGTCATTGTTTGGCATGGGGATACTACACAATGTTGTTACAGTACAATGTAAGTGACATGTATATGTACATGTAAGGATTAGAAGAAATATCCTTAGATTAAGTACTAGTACAAGTATCAAATCAGATCAACTAAGTCAAAAAAAACATCAAAGCACCTGGCAGTTATAAGTGGTGCAATCTATTATCCCTCATTGGGTACTATGACCACAGTATTATCACCTTTGACGCAGGCTTCGTTCCAAGCCACACCTATCTTTTATCAACAAAGCAAATTTACAATGGTTAAGCCAAGTTGACATTAATATGGACTTATTCTGCTTTGTCACTAACTAAAATGCAAAATGTACATGTCATTGATTTATAAAAGCTGTAACAAAATTTGATTTTGTGTAAGAAAAGTCCAGAGATAAGAAACTAGGGGTACCGCCCTGTCTGTTGAAGTGAGACTGATATAATCTACTGTGTAATTACAACTTGACATGATGAAATGCAGTATCCACAACAAACCAGTCAACACAAGAACCTGAACAATTCATCATATATTCATGCCATAAGACCTGGAGCTTACATACCGGTAAAAATCTGCTGTTACTAGTGTAAACCACTATGAAAAGAATCTATAAGTCATGACCTCTATGTAGTTGTAAGTAAAATCCTTGTACATGTACAATGTATGTGAGTTGTTACCTACCTTCCAGTCAACTATCTCTTGTTGTTGGCCTGATTTCATGCCTCACAGGTGACTGTCATGGGACATTGTTGACTGCTTGACCTTAAATGCCTTAACAGGATGCATGTAATGCTGAGTCATAACGAGGGAAATACCATTGGCATTTAATTTAAGTAACAGGTGACATAGAACACATAGACACAACCTTATTTCAGATTTATATTCATTCCTCAGTCAATTGCGATATCGTGTTGTATAGGAGAAAATCACTGATCTATTTTTTAGCATTATGGGCTTACATACAACTGAACTGATGTAATGTCATGACTTGCAAGTTGTATATGATAATAAACAATTCATGCTATTTGCCTGTATAAGCTCAGCCATTGTTACAAAGCATATACAATTTTGCATAGGTGAGAATCACTGAATCTCAGAATCTGCCTTATGGGCTGTCATACAACTGAATTGGCATAACATATGTCATTGACTTAATAATAACAATGTGTTACCATAGGATGCATACATGTATATACATATTCATATAAAACAAACAAAAAACAATCTTGAATAGCCGTACCTGCAAACCTTAGGTTGAGCTCATAAATCATTCAGATTGCTCCTGACACAAATGAGTTGCCATTCACTTAGACTGCATTGATACTCTGCAACCTTCAATAGAAATGACATGAAAAGGTCACAGGTCATTACACAACATGTAACATGCACACTGTAGACTGTTCCATTCAATACCGAAGTAGGGGGTCAATGGCAGAAAAGTTGTCATGAAATTGTTTTTGGCTTGTTTATCTGTGTGTGTACATACATACTAGTAATTTAAACTCAATGCTGCTATTTTAGTCTTGGGGCTAGAAGGGTCGTAAAGCAGTATGGGTAAGGGGTGAAGTCTGCCAAATCTTGTTCAATCGATATAAAATTCTTTCTCAAGATACTTTAATAGGTGAACATCCTTGCATTGATATTATTTTATAAATATTATAAGTTATCAGTAGTTCTATATGTACTAACTCAACTGTCTGTTTTTATACCATGTTTCTTCTGTTTCTGCAATTAGCCCTCGGGCAAGAATTTGCAATTATTTATAATATATGAATTTATCTCGAGAGCTAGCTCAGCCCACACCAAGGAGGTTGCCCAGACATTTTTTTTTTTATTTGAACGCCACTGATATTCAATAGTTTGAGAAAGCTTGGACTAAAACCTACAGAGGCTGTACGGTTCAATCAATTACTTCTCAAATCTTTGATCTTTTCAGAAGGTAACGGTAAATGTTGACTTGGCAACGCGTACTGAACAAATATGCATGGTCGCCATAAAGGTTTTATGCGCAACATGATGCAACTGTCAACATTGTATAACAAGAGAGTTTGACCTTTTAACTGACCTTTCACATTCCCTGTCTGATGTAGGGTCAGCCGTCCGGTGTTTTAGATGAAACGTACGCAGTCATCACACAATAATCTCCTCATGACGAGTGGAAGAAATTCAGCTTCTCAGCGGGCAGCGGTACTTCCTGAATATTTGCTTTTTTCTTAAGGTCAAAGGTCAGGACTCGTTCTCAGGGTAGTGTTGTCCATGCAATGTTTGTATCGCTTTATATTAAATTGTAGAAATTGTGTCAGTTACTGTTACATTGTGCGCCCTAAGTAATGTTACCTGAGGAAGACTCAGCACGAGACAAATCTACCTATACTTATGTGGTTACTGCATGGTTACTGTATTTAATTTAATAAAGTAAAACCCGAGAACGAGAGCCATTCATTATACAGAAGAACTTTATTGCACGACAAATGCACATGGTACATTGTATGGCAAACTACATAAAGAGAGTAACAACAATAAAATAAGTGTGTTGAATAAGACCTAATGTCGAATAAAACCTAACATATCTATATCATAATCATTCAAACAATAAGGGATATCACAATATATACATGTATTACGATGATGTAACGTTACTTAGAGTAAAGGCTAGCGCCATATACATTGTATTTTTAATGGGGTCCCTGGACCGGTCTGGTAATTTAGGAGTTCAAGGCCTATTGAATCTCTCCTTCTTTCTCACGCACGCACGCACGCACGCGCGCGCGCGCGCACACACACACACACACACACACACACACACACACACACACACACACACACACACACACACACACACACACACACACACACAATCTCCCTCCCTCTCTCTCTCTTCTCTCTCTCTCTCTCTCTCTCTCTCTCTCTAGCTCTCTCTCCCTCTCTCTCTCTCTCATTTTCCGGAGTCCCAAACATAATATATCATTTCCTTTCATTCTGGCTCTTATTAATCATTCAAAGAAAATAATATCTCTGTACGCAATGTAGTCAAGCGGCAGATATGTATTTAAGATGTGCAGGGAATTGAAATAAAGGAATTATACATTCTCCACTACTTTCATGAAATACGATATACATGTAACTTGCATATGTCATGGGATCAAACATATTTGACTCCATGCATATGTGTATATCACTGTGCGTAAATTCATCAGAGTATATTAACGTTATTAGATATAAGTTACAGTAAGGAAATAAAAGTTATATACTGGCCATTTCTGCAGTACTAATAATAATAAGCATATTAGTAATATGCTTCGGAAGGAGACAAATTTGAATGTCGAGAACGCTGCTGTTGGTAAGAATACCCTGTTGCCGGCAACTGGCGTAATTATAAAAGTTCCGTTATAACACTTCAAGACTTTTAATAATTTTTTTTTTAATACAACGACCTACAATTCTATTAGCCTTTGTACCATCCGTATCTGTTGCTCCGATGTGCTGAAAATGCCTAAGCGTTGTTTCTACATCTCAATTTTTACAATTTCTTTCCCGCCATTTTGTCTTGGCGATGTCAAGCTAACCGTGTTGTTTTCATAAAACCACCAAGCTAGAAAGTTTTAGCGCAGCAAAGCCACAAATACAGATGGTACCCAGGCTACAATTTTGATTCCCATCCTATTCAAAGAAAGCAAATATAAGTCGATGGGAGGTCTTTGTCGTCTGTGGTGGTTATCATTCCCAAGCGGATAGTCATAGTCATTAGTCTTTTAAGACTATTACATATTTTAAAATATGTAACATTAGGACGATACAAAAAGTAGATTTTCTTGTCATTTTGTTTACAAAGTAAGTTGAATCAACCATACTTCATTGCAAATGAGTGTCATTCGGGATGTGTAGGTTAAAAATATCTTACCGTTACGAGTGTGTTTATTGAAACACAGCTGCCAGCCATGTTTGTTTTCATTCTGGTGGTGAAATGTCAGAAATGTGATCAGGTACGTGCACAAATATGTTGAAACTGGAAGTAACTTACAATCACACCTGTATAAGATGCTTAAATTTTGGGTACAAAAATGCTACATAATATGCCCCTTTTAAGTTATGCTGACTGACGGAGAATATATATAATATATTATCCGCAAGTGGTCGTTATGGATTGAAGTCATGTGCACAGATGGAATGGGTATGAAACGATCCTGAAGCCCCGCCCACCTCCGTCAAAACATAGAAATGCAAATATTTGACGGACATGCAGCCACTCTCTCATTGGTCGAACCGCTAATTACCATCCTCTTATTGGTTGAACTTCAACCAATCAAAATTCAAAATGCCATCCTCTTATTGGTTGAACTTCAACCATTAAGAGGATCGATGGCAATTAGCGGTTCGACCAATGAAAGAGTGGCTGCATGTACCGTTGAACTTCTAATTGTGTTGGACATCCAGGATCTGTCTATTGCCAAGGTGAACTACCCTGACAGGTAGGAGGCCCCGATTCTCTCGTTGATGTACTCCCGTGCCAGGAGAGGTTGGTACTTGTCGGACCCGTCCAGACACGCCAGATCGGCGTCGCCGTCACAGTGACAGAAGAAGGCCAGGGACCGGCGGACACGTCTCCTCTCCTCGGCACTCTTAGGCATCACTACACGGTGCCTCTGGGAGGGAAAACACAAAGTATAAGTTTATCACAGGAGGTTTTTTTAGCTAGCTATTGTTGTAGAATCATACTAATTTGTGTTCACTTAAGAATTATAAGTGTTTATTATTGGGATCACGGCGGTCTGTCACTACGGTATTCTTTCCCATTGCTAGGCGCGTTCTAAAAGGTATCGGATTACAAGACGCTATTTGGGCCGAGTTTGGCCTACCAGTAAAACACCTGAAAATAAACAAAAAGGATTTAATGTTAAATTTCGTCAAATTAAAATGAAATTGTTGCCTTAACATCCTTTCAATATTAACTGTTTATGTTAAATCATTGATTTTTCAAAATTTCGCTCCGAAAGACGATTTTTTTCGGATTTCCGACCACAAGTCATGTCATGTTTTTAGGCAAACATCGCTTTAACCTGGCTACGTATATTACCCCAGATTCCCGATTTTTATATTTTTCGACGACTAGGAATAAGATCAAAAATCGTGTTTTAGGGATTTTTTAATTGCTGATTTTAAGTCTAGTTTTTGTCGACATATTGGTGAAAAAATGATTTTTCTTTACATTTTTCGCACTAAATCACCCATAATTCAAAATTGAGGCCAATTTTTAAAAATCCCTAAAACACGATTTTCGGGACAACCATAACGGTCATTTTGAGCCGTGAATGGGGTATGCTTGACTTTCCATGCTTGCAGGTTAAAACGAGTTTTGCAGACATGTCATGTCGACCAAAAGTCTGCATTGTGTTATTCATACTGGTGTAAAGAATCATTACAGTATTCAAGGTCACCCAAGGATACGACAGTAGCTTCGCTACATGTCACATGTCCACAAAAAATGATAGCGGACATGTACTGTCCAGGAAACTGTTTTTATCTATAGAAAAGTGTTGTTTTTTATCTGTTGCACGGCACGGAGGCAGACAGGCTTGTTTTGCCGCTTTATTGTAAATGACCGCAGGTGACCCCGAAATAGAACGCGGGTTCGATTCGAATTGCCCAGATCGAACACGATCGAACACAGTTCGGGTTCTATGGCATGTGGGAACTTTGCAACCCAGATTTTACCACCGTGGATACAAGTATACACAACCAGTACTTCTGTTATCGTCTTGCTATAGTACTTCAAGTTTACACTTGATACACTAGAAATAAGAAAATGTCTTACTGTTGACTTGAGTTTGTCTCCTGACCACCTCTGCAAGGTATCAGCAATGTTGACCAGAGTGGTACCCGGTATCGGCTTGGCAGGAACATACTCTCCCTCAAGATTCACCACCTAGTGCATGCAGAGACATGGATACGTTAAAAGCAATACAACAGTACTGGCAAATTTGTTTCACGATTCTAAGACTGGCCATGCAGGCTACACTAACGCAAACAGTATGTCAAACTTTGTCAAGTTGTAAAAGTAGAAGGGGTCAAAATCCTCGATTCTGAACCGGATTTCTTTGCAAGCGTAGTGAAGGGGGTGGTCTACGTTAGAGCTCACAGACCTACTCTTATGAGCAGAGACGGGGGTGACACAAGTTATCTGGCACGTATGACCCGCTAATGCGGTCAGGTGTCTCTAAAGTCCCGTTCCAAGAGTTGACGGGTTTATTTCGTGAACAGGGTTGGGTAAGTCCCAATTCATTCTAGTGTTGAAGATAAAGTTTATCCTTTTCTTCATAGTGATTTGTATTAACACAGATGAACTTTCACGCTTTGTCAAAAGTAGGTGTGGGATTTCTTGGCCAGTTTTGACTTTACCAGACACACACGTCCTTCAGTACCAAGGACAGCGCCAACACTACTGCGTACTAGTATTTACGCGCGTAAGAAATACATCGTATAGTACCAAACAGTATCAGACAGATTTCTTCATACAGAAAAGTTTTGTTTTGCTGCCCTGAAATTGCATTGGCATAAGGTTTGAAACTCAGCTCGAACAGAATCTACTTCTGATTTTTGACAAGTCAACTGCATGTTTTTATATATTACCTCCAGTCCGGGGTTGTCCTGAAATAGCAGAGACAGACAGCCGAAGTCAGTATGTTCCCCACACCGGATCTGGTTCTGTTTGACGACTTCCGGGACGGGAGGGTACCGGAGTGACCGGAGGTTAGTGCCGTTACCGCCCTTTCCGATGTACTGGAACTTTCTCAGGAAACCATCGACATCCTACAGTTTGGAAACACAACATTTTTGTACATATACCAAATGTGAAACCTTGCCAAATTTTTTGTAGTAATTAAAAGTAAAGCATGTAATGAAGTGGGGCATGAATGACTGACTTTAACTGTTGTCAAATATACTGTATCATGATTCTGTGTATGTAAGAGTAGAATGGCGTGGCCGACGTACCATTTTTTTTATCAGAGGAACATCAAATAGTACAAATGAATTGACAAAGACAAGTAGGCTCAGGTTGTACACAACTTATGTTCTAGCCGCCACTTGTACATTATAAAAAATTATAAATATTTGATAAGACGTATTGATTATTATGATAAAGAGATACTAGTACATAACAAAAGAAAGCAAAAGGACACATATATCTAAAAACGTTTTGTTGCTGTGATACAGCACCATTTGAAAGACGTAGAAGACGCCACGAAACATAGGCACAAAGCGAGGTCATGCATCTGCTTGGAGTAATATTGACGCACATACCTTGATAGCCAGCCCCTTGGCTATGATCTCGAGCAGACGCATGGCGAGCACATGGCAGGAGTTGTAGAAGTCCATCATCACGGGCTCAAACTCCGGGACTTCTGCCGGCCACGTCTGTGCAGGAGAGAAACCAACTGTTACAGAACGTGGAATCTTGCTGTTATTATCCTCTATATCAGGCTTTGGGAAGCGGCTGGAAAAAGTAGAAATTGGCCAAATAGAAGATGATATGCCAGGGGAGTTGGTCCGCGCTAAGAGAACAGTTCGCGAGCGCCAAACTCTTTCCAGTCGCTTCCCGAAGCCTGGGAGAGGCTATCATATATATACTTGAAAGGTGCGCCGCCATATGAATCTTTAAAAAAGTAGATCTAGAAGACTAGGAAGGATCGTTGACTCGACGTCTTCATTGTTTTTATTGCCAATTCTCTAGTGCTATGAGGTCATGTAGATTTTGTTTTCTTTCAAACAAGAGAAAAGCAAAACGATTTCTGGTCTATCATACGGCAATGGCTAGTGCGTAGTATAAGTTGACAGCGCCTCTAGCGGTGAACGAGAAAAACGCACCTGTCCCACGGTAAGCGGGGGCATGATGTTGAAGCATTCTTTCAGGTCATTAGGACGGCCCTGTCCAATCAGTGACAAGCTGTAGAACGACAGGAAAAAACAGAAACCTGTAAAATTAGACACTTCTTTCTCTTCTTGATTTTATTATGGCTCTGACCAAAATTACACCTTGAAAAGAGTTTGCACTCAGTTGCAAAACTACATGCCGCGTCACATAGTTCACCCAGACTTACATAAACAACCACCAGATGTGTCATGCATGCATGCTAGCAGCATAGACTAGACGTGCAAGCAAACTCTTCCACCTCTTAAACCAGAGTGAATTACTTTTCTCTCTCCAGGGCCATCCACCCGTGGCGCTCTGCCGTCTTGTCCAACGGACGAGAGTATTTCTCCTTCACCGTTTCCGGTTGCAGATAGAATTTATCGGCGACATCAAAGGTATTAAACACCTGGGAGGCAAGGTAGCAAGGTTATTATTCTCTTACTCAATGATTGCGACCAAGTTCGTGTTCATTACTACTGCTAATCAAGTTTTACATTGCATGGAAGATTCCTATAGGATGTTTGCACCCTCGTGACCATGACGTCATTATTGGCCGCCATGATGAACGGTTAAACCCTGGAGTTCCCAGGTGAATATGTAAGTAACACCGGCGTTGGAGACGGCTAGGGCACATTCTGCAAACGAACAAGAACAGGCATCCGTATGTCGCCCTCAGACGGACTCCCCAAGGAAAGTGCAAGAGAGGCATGTCCCTAGGAACATGAAGAAGGACGGTGGAAGAGGCAGCCAAAAAGACACGGCACGACATCGACTGTCTGGTCCAAGATTGGAAAATGTTTTTTCGGTGTCTTATGCTCCAACAGGATCGAAGAAGACCAGCCAGTACTACAAACATGCATTTACTTTAGCTCTGGATTTTTCGGTTTTCGCCAACGAACATGTCGGCTTTACATGTACAAGACGGTCACAAGCAAACATACCACAGACTGTGAAGATACGTGTCGGGCTTACCTGGGCAGATGAGATTCCGGTGTTCGTTAAGTAGACGAAGCCCACGGTGGTGAAGGCGTGCATGAGTTCGTCCGTCAGCGCTTGTAGCTCCGCTTCGTTCACGTTCTTGTTATCCAGACTGTACGCCGAAAAGTCCACAACCGGGATGAAGCCACTCATGTTTACTGTAAGAAAAAAAAAGATATTGGTCTGAGTGCACGTGTGGCTAAACGACCGACTGGATACTACTGCCTTGTCTCCGCTGGATCTGCTTGGAGATTAGCAGTTCATAAAGTTCAGATTCAGAAAGGTTCGAATTCAAGGTTCAGATCAGAACACGGTTCAGTGATAGGCCCTGGGAAGTTTACATCAGGGCCCATCAACCCTCAGTGAACCGTGATCGTGTGTTGGAACAAAGCTTGAACTCTATAACTATGGAGTCTACGTATACCAACACAGATGAGCTTTTATTCGAATTATTGTAAACTTGTTCTATATTTTGCATGTAAGCCGCAAGCCTTTGCGGCTAACAAAAGTCTGAACCGCCAGATAGCGTGACCACACAATCCTGTGCCTGCTTACTGTATTTATGTATCTTAATCTGAATATTCCCCCTGGCTGTTTCTCGTTTCACCTTGTTTTCACTGGCTTTGTTATCTGCAATGTCGGTATGGGGTCACCCATACCGGCATAGTTTGGATAGAACTTGAATCCCAGGCTATTATATTTGCTCACTGTCCGTTTAATTCTGGCTCTATCTGGGACAATAGACGACACCGTCATTCAGCCTCCTTTTCTGTGAATCAAAAATTGACCTGCTCCACTTTTAACGCAGTTTAGTTATGAATCATGCATGCTATTTCCCAAAGAATTTCACCACTGTATACAGATTATATTTCATCTTATCCCTATGTGTGTGTTCATTTAACCTTTAGCCAGACGCATTTGAGCTTTTAGATAGATGTTTCTCATATGATTATTGAAATTATCACAAATTATTAGTGCTTAAATGTGGCTATAGGGCCTAATGATTGAGGTTGAGTGAATTGGATGATTTGGCTGTCTGTTAGGGTTCCGTGGGAACTACTATGGATATCGCACTCTGGATGAGTCTTGTACTTACATGTAGTTAGCCTGAGTGTCAGCCTTGTTAGCTTTCGTCCGCTCCCCAATGTCCGCATTTGATCTTCATTAAGTTCCTTTCTTGTGTTGGAGCAAAGTTTAAACTCTACAACTATGGATTCTACCAACACAGATGAGCTTTCATTGGAAATTACTTGATCTGATTGTTTGCAAAGTCTGGGATCTGGCAATCATGTGAAAAAATGGTTGCTGGCCAATTTACTCTACATTCATTCTACGTGCGCACGTTCGTCGTAAGGTAGAGTTCCGACAGAAAATTGAGGACATTCGAATTCCTAGATTAGTCGGCAACTGTATTATGACGGAAAAGTCTACTGTGGATCGTTGTCTAGCCTCTACCAGGCCACAGAAGTGGCTAGAAACGTAGAAATTGGCCAATTAGACCAAGGACAGTACACAGACCAAGGGCGTTATATTAGACAGGCAATATTTCGTTTTCGGGACATAGTTCACTAAATGGGGATAAGTCAAACTGTAACATTATTTACTCTCTGAGCAGACTAACTCACCTGACCTGTTATCTGTCTTTTGGGCCAATTTCTACTTTTTTTCTAGGCACCTCTGAAGCCTGGTAGAGGCTAATCCCTCTCAAATGTGACGTCGACTGGCCCCGCCTTTTAGAAACGGGCTTGTAGTATGCATAGCTTACAATGTACTAGTATTTCCTCCCATTATTGTCAAGGAACAAGGAACAAAATGCAGCAACCCAGTAGGAATTTTCCATCGCGCACAGATCTCATGATCATTGAAAAGAGGAACGATTAGCTAGTTCGACCAGGTATGACGAGTTCTTAGCCGTGTATTCAGGTGTTGTCCATTGGGACGTCGGCTTTACCAAGCATTCAGGCTTTCATTATCACGGAGCTATATGGATAACCACCTTATACAGTGCATGACCACAATTTTTCTACCAATGTTCAAGACATTAACAATCGTATACGTAGGTCAGTACTAAAAGGATCCCTGAAATGTTGAAAACATGTCGGACAAAAAAAAATAACGCACTTGTACGGCATGCCTGGCTCTAATGTCACACGTGCGTCAAATGTTTATCAGGCACACCCATACCCACAAAAGCCGGGACAAAAGACAATATTTCGTACCGACCTCACATACATAGTTATGTTCTTATGGACTTCTAGAGAAGATACACCTGGCATTAACTCAGCAATGAATGTGAAGACGAAAATGACAGTCTCCTGTGACTGGAAAGACAACTTCTTCCTATGTCACAGATCAGTAAAGCGACGCCATATATATCAAATCCTGCAGACAATTACCGTTGACATTCTGTTCAGATTATGTAGAATAAACATGGAGGTAAAATTTTTCTACCTCCATGGAATAAATGTGTAAGAAAGTATACCTTCCGGATAGAAATCGCCTTTAAACTGCCTTTACACTGTCAAAGAAAGACCTGCGCGACCGAAATCGTTGATCGCCATAGAGTAGAGCATGTTTCCCCCCTGAAAATTTACCCGTGCATTGCAATTGGTTGGAGATCGGTGACCTACCAACGGATTTCTAAAAATCGCACCACAACGAAGACACCAACTGAAAATGCTCTTCAGAGTTCGAAGCAGACAGGTAGGATGAGCTAGTTTCCTGCTGTATGATGCCGCTTTACAGCTTAACGTCAAAAGATATGCTTTTTTAGTAAAAATGTGGTAGCAGCAACATGCATCGTTTTCTTCAACTGAGCATGCGAAGAAACTCCGTTCACGGTAAATATGATAAGACGTACCTGTTTGGTCCAAATACAGGACAGACGAAGTCGAAAACTGCTCTAGGCGACAAAGAACAGCGTTCCTCAAGCAAGTTTCTCGGAGTGACTGTGTCACTGTCGTATATGATAATTACTAGTGCATTGACCCTGCGTGTGACAGAGGAACAGTAGATTGCTAGGGGCTGGGCACACCCAAAACAATTTCCGTGTGCACGTTACCTCAGGAATGAAAAAAAAAATCTGGAAATAATGAGAAGATTATTGCAAATTCATTCCCGGAGGCTAACTGCAAATTACAAACATAAAAGAACATTGAAGCAGAGTATAAAAAACTAGAATCTACATGATGAAAGGTAACTGTCAAGAAATATTGCTATGTCTAAAACTATGTCTGAAGGGTTTGACTTCTCTTTTGTAAACCGTGGAAGACGTAATGTCCTACCTTTTTCCAAAATTTGTGGGCCAGTTTTGGGAAGTTAAAAGAAGAATAGTTTTGTAATGACTACAAAAACAAATTGATGAACATGTCAAACAAGACTTATTATATGATAGAAAACATGCAAAGCTAAATTTTCAAATGTCTGTTTTTGGCAGATCTCGAGAATATAGATACTCTCTTTGGATATTTGGTAATGTGATTTTTGGTACTTGAGAACAGTGTTAATGTTGTCTCTCGCTCGCACTACCTGGTTCAAAACTGCAACGCTACTTGTAGTGTACTGGAATAACGTACTGAGAAATCACTACAACACGAGAAGTAACTTGCTAATGCCCTATCTGTCACGGTGACGTCATGGAAATTTACGAGCTATAGAACTAGTTGAACTAGTGTCATCATTATCTATCGCGAAGAAAAACAGCAAAAGAAGACATTTCTTGGTGAACAAGGAAAAATTTGTCGCTACAGAGGCTGGAAAACAGGTTGATATGTCTACTTCTATTTACTTTTAAATGCTCAAATGTCCCCTTTGTTCCAAGTGGAATGCTCCTGTTCTAATATGCGTCCAGGAGGTCAACGCCCCCTTGAGAACAAATCTAGGACAATTTCGGTAAGATCTCTAAAGTATCACATGAATAATATATGGTGCATTGTGAAGTTTCACATGTCGTCTGCGTGACGGAAAATTACAGGCGAAGGTAATCATTACGACCCGTCCAACTCGTCCAACGGGCCTTAGTTAATGAGTCAGAACAAACTTAAACAGACATGGGCTGAACCTAGACTTGCTATAGAGCTTTGCCCTCAATGTCTAATTAAGCAGATGTGAAGCGCCTGTCACACATTCCATTCACATTGATTCAGGACCTTTCCCAGACCTTGCCCCGAACATCAGCCAACCAAGGCCACGCTTATTTACCTTTATATGCGAATCAACTCGAATTTGAGTTAGATTCGCGCCAAATTTGACCCCCGAACACTAGGGACCTACTCCCAAACACTTACCAACGATGGCCGAATCTCCCAAGTCTCCACCAGACTTCTTTTGCAGGCGGAATAAATCGTAGAAATCGGCCCAAGAAGGGTATTACTTGGCGAGAGAAGTTAGCCGGCCATCAACGTTCAAATTGGCCTGCAACTTTTTCAACTGAGTATTCAGCCTGCAAAATAAGTCTGGTGGAGACTAGAAACTCCCGCCCACACTCGATCGAATGTTTCAAACAGCCCAACAGTCACGTTTCCTTGCAGAGTACAGAACACCAGCCAACCACAGCCGATCATATTCGCGAGGCTAGTATTTAGATATAGTAGTAGGTGCCTGGTTACCCCATGTTCCTAGCCTCAATAGCATGCCAAAACTGGGGGTTTGGGGGGTCTTTAGGGTCTTTGGGATCTTTTATGTGCTATTTTCTGATTGCATATAGACAACATGGGCGGCCTGGTTGAATTACCCCCGCTTTTAGAACTGGGCTAATAAGAAAACAGCCGAAGACCACCAAAACCCCAGTTCTATAAGCCTGCTACGGAGGCTACAGTGTTCCCATGTTCTCGACTGTCACATATGATTCGAATTCGCTTTATATCTGATGATGCAAAAAAAAAACATAAACTGATACTTCGTGAGAATTTTATTATGAAAACGAAGCTTTAGTATTGAAACCAGGCGCGCTCTTGATTTCTTTAACCAATGTCATTCTAACAGTTTGCAATAAGGGAAGGATTGCCATGCGCTTATATGCACCTGTACTATCACAAAACCATATAAACCATATTCATTTTTAAGAGTAATGGTTAACTTTTTACCTGCAGCTGGAATATTTTATTGTTAGTCTTATCATTTTGTTGGTTTTATAATAGAGTTTAATTTAATACCAGAAACGGGATTGTGAGAGCTCCATGTCACCAGCACATGTCACTTCAGTTTTGCATATCATCGCTAGATGTCGTGAGTAGACCGTCCCAGTACAACGATGACGTGTCAACACGTACGTACCCATGTTCGTGTTGTACTGTACCAGGGGTGCCAGGAATACAGTACAATCGTATTAGTATACAGTGCAATTTTACGGAATACAATACAATCGTATTAGTACACAGTGCAATTTTACTAGTATACAGTGCAATTTTACTAGTACACTGTGCAATATGTAAAGTCGCACTGTATACTTAAATACGATTGCACTGTATTCCGTAAAATTGCATATAATACGATTGTACTGTATTCCGTAAAAGTGCACTGTATACTAATACGATTGTACTGTATTCTGTAAAATTGCATTGTATACTAATACGATTGTACTGTATTCCGTAAAATTGCATTGTATTCCGTGAAATTGTACTGTATACCTGGATACATTTCACGGGCATTGGTGTTATATTGTCTTATATCGGACGAAACGCCACACGATTACGAAGAGTAAAGATAACATGCCTGTTACCACAGACTATATAATGGATTTCTCGCGACTTCCAAGATCGCACCTGAACTTGAACAGAACAAACAATACGTTTGCCGGGTCGTTGCGTAACTGCTGTAAACATAAACACAAACACCGAAGGGGGGTAGACCAAACAATTTTAACATTCCTGTCACACGTCTTGTTGCCTGACACTGTCCTAATCTACTGGACATTATCACAGGCCCATCTCTTGCTATCAGCGACAAGGCAAATAATTTATAGACACAAGAAACACACAAACTATTTGGAAACGCCCAAAGGGACCCCACCGAGTGCCACTTACTATCACGATTATCTGTGGGACGACTAGAAATAGCTCTCCAGTTCCCAACACGGTAACAGTCCGCGGGAGAACATAACCTCTGTCCGCGGGATCAGGACTATAAAGCCGGCCTGTATTCGGTTTCCAGGGGGACAATGGGGAACGGAAGGCCCTGAGAGATTGTTACGTCGCCAGGCACGCCTCTCAGGACGGCCACTTGTGTGTTTTGAAACGCTAGCCTTGTGCGCCGCCTCGAGGGGCGAAAGGTTTAATACGCGCAGTTGGAAGTTAGAATTGCCAGAATACCGCGCGGGTTGAGGGCGAACTCAGACGGATATACACGGGCGGTGGAGCTGCGAGGAGCGGCCAGAAGAAGGTCGGAGAACCCAGTCAACATGTCCGCGGACAGGCCGTCCTCAGCGCCCGGGGCTGTCGTCAGGAGGGGTTCCACCAAGCTGCACAGGAAGGGCAGCAAAACATCCTCCTTCAAGGAGAAGAAGAGGAGATTATCGACGTCTTGTTGTCAGGGTAAGGCGCCTTCTAGAACGTAGACACAGATATCTTAGTGTAGAGAGAGATTATAATCACTGTGATGATTGCGCTAGAGCGAGCTGCAGTATTATTATATACTAAGGGGGAGGGCGAAATGATCCTCCCACGACAATAAATTAAGCTGACGACCTTTGACAAGTAAACTCTGCTTGCAACAAGATTCATTGTATCTTTATACAACTCACATACATTTTATACGAGCCATGAAATTATCGTATGCACTGCCCCCATATGCCATAGCTTAGCTATATTTACTCAAGTACCATTCGCGTCAGTATTGTAGGTCACAGAACTACGTAGTAACCGATACGTTTTTGATAAAGTTCTATCTTGGTAACCAACATTATCATAAACTATTTTCGAATGATATGGAAGCCATGCAGTTGCCCAGGGCACATTACTTGTTGAATTCTACGCAGTTTTGTGAGTTTTGGTATGCGACACTATGGTAACGTAACATGCAATGTGTAACATAACATTGGTTTAATTCTCTGGTATGTAAGTTCGTGTGACCTCTCCATAGCCTTGCTAAAATGGCTGCCACATCATCTGTTACCCTTTGCTAGTAGTAACCACTATGCCATGCCTCCCACAAATATAGAATTTCTTATACAAGGAATTACGCTGACTAGTAGGCAATGCAAAGTACGTCGAAAGTTGAAAAAAAAGAAAATAGTTAAAAAACCTCCTGTCTCTCTTGTCTAGTTTTCACTCCTTTTTGATTTTGTTATACCCCAATTAAAAACGGGCAATGCAAAGTACAGGTAGTAAAATTTATTTTGTACAATCAGCACCCAAAACCACTTTGCAACACTGACCTTTTCTAGAGAGTTAATAATTACCCAGAGGTGTTAATGTAAAAGCTATTAAGGTAATTATCGACTTAACTCTTAGACTGCCACTATAGATATGGTGGCGAAGGTGCCACACTAAATCACACCTAACTTTTGGCTGGCAACTCATATATCGCCTACCCATGTAATTAGAGTTGTAATTAGTGTTATGATTAGAACAGTGGCTAGATTTCTGGAGCAGATTAGAATTTAGAGTACCTGTAACGTTAGTGTGATGTTTTGTTTTGCACGAGTTGTATGTTTTGTGAGGAACAGTGGCAACGCCCCCTGCTAATGATGACATGTCCAGTTGACCCTACGAACCCGTCAACATGTCCAGCCATGATATGTAAACTGGTGATGGGTGTGTGTTGTTGGACAACAAGTCATAGATCGGACATGTTTGGAACACAAACATTGTATAAGAACGGGTCTCGGCGTATCGCTACCCGGATGCGTTGTTTACAAAACATCTGCTAACGTTACTCCAAAGTGACAGTATCCTGGCCAGCTGGCGGCCTGAGTGTTGTGACATGTTGTTACTGAGTTGATTAAAGCCAGTGTTAGGGTTAGGGTTAGACTGGGTGCCAGACTGTTTCCAGGGCCCACACAGGTCAGTTCCTCGGCTACAGGGCCAACATGCCCCGAAGGAAAGTATACCACAGCCCCCTCAGTTTAACAATACGTTGGCTTAGCGTGATATGGGTCGGGCATCCAGGCTAACAGATCCTAACAGGGTTCGGGCTTGCTTCAGCCATGTCAGTGTTCTTGCATAGATATCAGACACACTTTCTCCTTGTACCTCCAGTTTTGTTACAGTAACAGAAAGGCATGTTTTGGTTTTTAACTACAGAAGCTCACATTCCTGATTGCCTCTTAGCAACAACAAACATAATAATGTACCACCTCCGAAAAAAAGCGTCTTTGTTTATTCGGCATTGAAAAAAGTCCACTCATATGTAGTACGCATACTGTATTGTATTGTATTGTATTGCTATTGGTACCATTTTGGCACAAATACTTACAGGGTTGGTGCGTTAGAAAAGGATTATGATGACTGAAATACTGATATGTATTTCGAACATGAGCAAGCAATTAATTACCAAGCATTAAAGATTGCATCGTGTCCAAAGCAGACGGTATAGAGCTTATTCACCACGCGTCATCATGACGTCATGACCCCTCATGTCCCGTGCGACGCCATTTTGGGGCTCATCTGTACAGCGAGTTTCCAAGCGTTGAAATGGCTGACAAACGTTAGGTAAACTGTCCTTTGTCCTATTACACGAAGACTTTACCACCACTCATACCTCTCGTTACTGGAACAAAATAAAATCTGTTGGGATTGCCCCTTTTTGTTGAGTTTTGATCAGTCTGATCGAGACCGCCTACCGCCAGCGGAGTCCATTGACGTGACTTAGCTTCGTATTTGGTACTGTGCAGAAGTTTTTACACACAACATCGTTTCAAACCGTCTAAGAGTCTGGAAGCGTTGTATCAGGATGTGTAAAAAGTGTTGTGGGACAGTTGCGTGATGACAATTAAGTACGTTGTAGTCGGGAAACGCAAAAGGTCGCTATTTTCGAACAGCCCCGGACTGTGTCTGGATAAACAACACTGAGCAAAGGCTGTGGGGGCCATCGGCCGCCATCCTCAGTCCGCACTGCCGCGACTGTGGCTGGACAAGGTGAGTGTTGCAAGTTGTCAGCGCCCTGTTCTACATGGACATTTACCACAGAGTGAAGGGACAAGTAGCTCCAACAGATTTACCGTGTTCATGGCTACCCATGTTCTACAGCCCCCTACGCCGCGCCAGGGTAAAACACACCGATTTCTGATCAGCAAAAAAAAAACAACAACATAAAAGCCAATCTTGACAACATGAGACGTGGACGCGGAGCCAAAACAACCCCAAGGACAATGTTACTAACAAGAAGAGTGTCCAAAACGTTAATTGTGGCCCAAAATACGCAACTATCGCCAAGAGTTTGCATAGCGTACCATAGCGATAGGCACTACGCTGGACCCCAAAATGGTGGACGCCAGGGGGAGAGTCACGTGACAATCTGTGGTGAATAAGCCCTATACAAGATTCCTATTAAGGAAGGAACAGTGATTATCCAGGTGGCATCCAGACTCCCTGGTGACCTCTGGGTTCCTTTTGTGCCCGGGTGGTTTCCCCTGGTCCCACTGCCTTTACAGTAACCACACATCAAGGAGTTTGTCCTTAGGTGGGGGCGGTGCATTTATGCCTACACAAAGCCGTATGAAATATTGATTTTAAATTTTACCAAAGGATTACTTACTCGCAAGGAGGACTCGACAAGAGCAAGGCAAATTTACCATTGTACTGTACACACGGCTTGACAATGGCGACAATGTGTCCATGTTTTCAGTTCGCTCTCTTCTGTAGCACAGGTGTTGTTTTCCCAGGGTTTAGCCACACGGCGATTGTTCATGTGTTTCTCGAACTTTATCATAGTTGATTAGAGGATGTAATTTTTCTTCATTGCTGAACAGCATAAACAAATACAAGACACAGTGGTGAGCAACTCTAGCAATTGCTAATTGTAGCCTCAACACTGACAAAGAAAAATACAATCTATAATGATAGTATAACAAATTACAAAACAATAGATGGGCGTTCTGATACAGATAACATGTAAAATAAAGATGTAAAAAAATGGATCATTGTATTTTGAAATGTAAACGTTCAGTCAAAAATAAATCGTCTTGCTTGAAATGGGTCAAAATTAAAATATTTCTGTTAGTTTCTGGACACACGAAAGATGTACTTGATGTACCCTGGGTGCCAAACTAGTATCGGGCCGTTAGCCGTTTTCCTTCGGCAGCCAAGAGCCCTTCCCCCGCCACGGAGGAGTTGAGCCCAGGAGAATTTGTCCGAAGAGTATACTTGATGTAACTTGTTGCCATGATCATCTTGCTCCCTCATGGATGTGAAATGGTCGACCCCTAAGTTAGTTACAAGAGTTGCACACATTGAAACGTTTTGTGCTCCTGTGTTGGGCTGGGATTGGGTTCCGTGAGGAGCTATTGTTTTCACTAATCTCCCAGTCCGACCGGGTCAATCGTTTTGACGTGGAGGGAGGAATACAAAGGGCTGTTTCTTCAGACTTTAACAAGGGTGAAGGAAATAATCTCGGCAGATCTGGATGGGAATAAATAAGGGGGCTAAAATTAATGTAAAAGAAGTTCAGAAAGCATACACCAGAAACACCCGCATTCCATACACTGAAAAAGGAAAACACATGAGAAAACGAGTTATGCTGTTGATAGACAGACAGACACACAGACACACGGCCAGGAAAACATAACCTTCGTCAATTCTTGGCGAAGGTAATAAGAGAAGTGCAAAACGCAACAGCAATATTTTCATTTTTTACTCCTCTCATCTTCGTATCCATGTTATACCTCTCATATGTAATTACGTCCTTTCTTGTGGTTCATTTTTTAGGCGCGTGTGTGTCAAATATTTTACTCCGCATTCGTAACAGCACTGCAGTGTTTACGTTTCTCCTCTATACAGGGCAGAGTCACGGGGGGAATTTCTGGTATTCCGACTACGGAAAGAAAGGGTCACAAAGACTGGAAAGGTCGTACTCTTACGGAAACATAGAAATATTCTTATATCTGCTATGGTGAAGACTTATATCTGCTATAGTTTGTCACAATTTTAGCGCACATAACGTAGAGAACCGGGGATAATTTAAGCCAATCTTTCGTCCTGCAATATATGTATACATGGGTGCGTGGTGAAACACAATGACTGTAAAAACAGCGCCCTCTAGTGCTCCATTTAGGAGCAAGCAACCATGACAAAACTTCAACACACACGAAGCCCCGAACAAAGAGGTTATTTCAGCAGTAGCCGAGCGCAGCATGCAAGACCTGACAGGCTTTAAAAAGAGAAACTGTTTTGAGAAGCAGACCGTGTCTGTAGGTGTGGGAGACGGTGTGTGTGTAAAATGTTTTCTGGTCACGTTTTTGGGAATTCCTTTGTTGAAAACACAGGTACAGTTTCGTAAAACATTTGCGAATAATTCCAATCATTCAGCAAAAACAGGGCACTTGTACAAGTAGAGTCGTGACTTATACTGATTTGTTTTATTTCAACATCACCCTCCTGTTTCAAAACAGATTTAAACAGGTGCAATACTTCAGAGTCACGCATTAGGAAGAATAGAAAGACTGCATTCCATTCCGGTGTGCATCGTTGAACTTGATTCATTGCTATACGTACGAAAATAGAACCAATTCAAGTTACAAGGAATTTCAATTTATGTCTATAATGATGCGAAAATATGATTCGAACAATGGCCAACCCAACTTCAAATTCGTTTTTTTTTTATTGGTTCAACCTCATTTTCTCTAACAGTATGGATGACTTCATTACAGTAAATGAGAGAGGTAGACAGAAATGCGAAGAAATATTTCGTACTGCAGTTTGTAATTAAGTCGCTTGGTAGCGTCATTGAGCAGTCTCTGATTTGCTGTCGCCCTGCAGGTGCGACGTTCAAGCTGGATGGATCCACGGCACACCGCGACCTCCACGTGTCCAAGGACGGCTTGACAGTTTACTACACTTCAGGGAAGTCAGAAGACAGGACAAATGAAGATATTGTGGAATCCGGCCGGTAAAAGAAATTGTATTCTTGAAAGACATAGATGATCTAAATATGCTTTGAAATTGACTCAAATTCAAGGAGTGCTCTGTTTTCCATAGATCGCTCAGGATATTGTTCATATCAGGGAGCTGTTTTAAATTTACTCTCCTTGCCGAAAGCATTATTTCAAGCAAGTTCACCTTGCTTGTATTGTATTACGTTGAAGGCAAAGCATGAGGATAGATAAAGCTATATATTACGCTTTAATTGTGTTTGGATGGTCAAAACTCAACATTCATGATCTGTTTTTGGTTCGTATTCGAATTAACACATTACATTTTGCTCCAGGTTCTATGACGTCCCCTACAGCGTGAATGCGGTCGTCCTGGGTGATCTACCTGTCGCTAGGGGGCGCCACTACTGGGAGGTGACGGTGGGGAACAGCACGTTGTACCGGGTGGGTGTGGCCTTCCCCACGACCCCCCGCGACGAGTGCCTGGGTGAGAACGACTCGTCCTGGTGTCTGAGCTGCTCCAGCCACATCACCGCCAAACACGACCGGATCAACGATGACGTCAGGGTGACGTCACGTCCGGGTCAGATCGGCGTGTATCTGGACTACGAGATCGGGACTCTGTCGTTCTTCGACGCGGAGAGAAGAAAACACTTGTACTCCTTCCACTCGCACTTCAAGGAGACCGTGGTGCCGGCCTTCGCCGTGTGGAACGGGTCATTGACCGTACGGTCAGGGAAACTGGAGGTGGAGTACGCCATGTGACGTCACCATATCAGGACAACCGACGTTCAACATGTCATGTGGTGTTAAAATATAACGTTCATGACATCTTGCATGTTGATGACGACAGAGTAACGTATAACTGCCCAGACGTTTATTTGGAGCGATATTGCTGCAGATATGATATTGACAGGAACGATATTGACCATACGACTTGTATATACGGAACACTATATTCGGTACTTCTCGTATCGATATTGTGGAAACATATCTATAATCAGATCGTGGAAATCCGGGATGTGCTTTTTGGTCGGAAATGACTACGTTTTACTTGTCTTATCTTTTATCTAATATTTCTTCGTTCCTGCGTCAATGAAGAATAATATTTCTCTCCAAGGTTTTATTGTTTAAAAAAAAAATCACAATATCAACATGAGTGGAAGTGTACTAAAAGGGGTTTTTCCTTATTCATATGTCCTTATTATCCCGTACCATTTGTCTGACATCTAATTCCTTAGTTTGGTATCGTTCGAACTATTCCCTTTATCCTTTTCCTTCTCGCACTTTGTTATGTCATACGTGTAATTTTAATTTTCAAAACTATACTTCATACTTGTCATACAGCTACGGTCAGGCACTGCACGTAGACTTGCTGTACCACAAACACTGGAATATTTGGAGTGTTGTCCTCAGGACTAGACATAACTTTTCTCAGACTCAAATATACAAAGGATACTTCTTTCTTTGAACTTTAATGTCACGATTATATAAACATACATGTATAAAATTTACAGATTGTGCAATCGCCCAAGCCTCCACCAGGCCTTCGTACGGCGGTACAGATCATAGAATTCGGCAAAAAAGATGTCATTGTGTTCTATTCTCCATTAGGATCTTATCAAGCACATATTTTACTGATCGGATTATAAAGCTTTATTAATATGCCCTCCAGAGAACGAGTTTCTAACTAATCCGTAGATTTCATTTTGAAATCAACTTTTTTATTGCGAAACTTTTTTTTTTATTCGCAACGCTCGCATCAGTTTTGGGGTTCCCAGAGGTTGCCATCCATATAATCAAATCAACATGGCCCTACACGGTACTAGCTATATAGAATAATAATCTCTCTGTTCCTCAGCAGAAAAATATCGTCTGCGGTGACCATGGTAACGGGCACGGCCGCTGACTCGCGTGTTGGTGGAAATTTTAACCACGTTACTTTTCTGCAGCTCCCCTTTCATGAGCTGTATTGACTGGGTATTGAGGGGAAATAGTGCGTGCGATATTGGATCAGGGTTAAAAGGCGACTGTACACTCACCGCTACACAAGGGAACACTTGTCTCAGCCTTTCAGTACATTGTGTTTACAGTTAGCCACATGAAAACGTGCTAGACAGAACGTATAAATATATTCCATAGACAAACGTTATAAGAGAACGTATAAACAGACCCAGTGGACAAAAGTTAGAACACACACATTCACAGTTTTGTTATAACATATCACACAATGATACAGTGTTTTATTTCTTTTTTTACAGACGCCGCCTTTTCATTTCTTGCATGATTATGTTCAAAAATCTGGTTCAGAACAAAAGAGGGTTTCGTGGAAGAAACTGGTACAGAATAGATATCGTTTGGATGTGTAAGGTATGAATGCACGATCCCTGATTTTCCGGAAGTGTCGAGAGATCCGGTCGTCTCAAGTTCAACCGCAGGACGTGACACTGTGGCGAAGGGCACTTGTCGTCAAGTGGTTCACTATGAATTATACATGCTGGTAGTAAAAGAACCGTTTAGTCGTTTGCTTATAGACTGTTGTGTGTATGTCTGTGTATGTGAGTGTGTAATATATATGGTGGGGTGCATACATGTATATGATGAGCACATGATACACATGAAAGAGTCGTGAGCGAGCTAGTAGCGAGTCTGACTTTTGGGATGAAAATCATTATCACATGCAAGGTCTCGTCGATGCAATTGTGGTCCATGATACCTAGGCTCCTAGCTGTAAGGACTTTAGATCTGTCATTACAAACGAGATCAACGGCTCGGAAACGTCCTATTAACACTAAAGACTGCAAACAAACGAGATCCTTACTACGGGTGATCACACCGAGCTTTCATGCCCAGTCAGACACATCTCTTAACACGTCCTCCAACGGGATTAGAACCCCTGACCCATGGTACGGAGAGGAGACGCTATTCATCGCGGCAAGCATGCACAGATTGATCAGTTCAGCGGCTGAGCTTCTCCTTCGCAAACGTAAGCGCTGTTTACTTTGCAGACTGAGTGAGGGCCTGGCTAAGGTTTCAGTCGACCAGCTAACGGTGTTTTACCATCAGCAAAAACGCTAACTTCGACGCGTGGAAGTCAAAGACGAGCTAAGCCGACGACGGGTCAGGGTCAAATCCTTCCCCCAAGGAGGATTGAAACGTAAGACGTGTTCGTGAAAGGTGTTTATGTACCTGCTGTCAACCTGGAGAACGTGACGGGGCGACTTTTCTTTTTCACCTGCTGAAACGTGATCCCTCCCGGCGTAACCAATATCGGGTCAGGTCTTACAACGGCTCCCCTGTCTCTACCGCTACATAACATACAACATTACCCCGTCATGGAGTACGCCACGGCGGCAACTCAGCAGGCCACCGGGACGCACAACGGAGGCTTCTCGGGCCACCACTGGGACCTGTTCCGAACATTTCTCGACCAGGTGTCGTCGAAAGTCGACGAGGACGAGCTGGCCATCATGAAGACAGTCTGCCTGACCTACCTGCCCAAGAAAGACTTAGACACGGTCCAAGACGCTCGCGGCTTGTTTGAGGAGCTGGCAGCACGTCTTCTGCTAAGTCGGGATAACTTGGACGTCTTAGAGGACTTACTGAGGACCTGCGCTAGAGAAGACCTCATCGGGAAGTTAGAACTGTACAAGCAGCTGAGGAAAAGGGAGATGACGTGTGAACAGTGTAGCAGTCAGCAGCACAAGTCTGAGCCGAGAGGGTCTGGGCCCGAGCTGGTCAGGTCTACAAGTATTCCAGGTGAGACACTCTTATGAAGGACCGTTGTAGGGTGCAGCAGATTTGTTTATACTTAGCATAGTGTAGGTAAACACCAACGGCAGTGTTGAGGATCGTTTTATAAAGGTTTGGGCTCAGTGATTCTCAGTTTGACCACCCAGTATTGAACCACCATCTTCGCAGTAATTGGTTCAACAACAGATCAATTACCGGACGCCGACGCCTACGTATACCTCACCATACACAGTACTATCGTCATCCTGTCAGTGTCCTGTACTTGTGTGGTTTTCAAATCTACATTTATGTATGGTACTCATGGTGTTAGATTTATATCAAATATAAGAATGTCCACTGGTTTGCACCACCGCCCCCCCCCTTGCCCTTACTTAATGAAGACTATAAGAAAGATGAAACCCTTGGCCTCATTTGTTTGTTTATCAAAATCTACCAGATCACTTGTCATTTGGTGTCCACCCGTGACCAAATTTTCTGGTGTTGTCGTGGCCGCCATGATGTCCTCTCGGTCGGTGTCTTCTATTCTTCCTGCTTTATGTTGGTTTCTTTCTCCCTTTTCTCTCTCAGTCTTATGCCTAGGTCACATTTCCAAACCGGGGCCCGGTCGGGCTGTTTGTATAAACGAAAAACTAACAATTCACACGAAGAATATACAGAAATACATAGTGCTCATGGTTAATATCGAAAACTTTTCTGTGTTTCCTTGTCTTTTATATCGTACTTTTCGTTCCATAAGACTGCCCGGCCGGGCCCCGGTTTGCAAATGTGACCTCAGCATAGTTCTAGATCTGTGAGCAAGTTGCTACCTTTCCGGTGCCTCTCTTCCCCAGTAGATATCTCTCTATCTCATCCGTTCTGCTCGGTTCTGCCCACAGTAAGAGCACACTGCACAATTGTTCAGTTTGACAGACTGCATCACTCTGCAGCCGAGGCATATCAAGGTTCAGGTCAGACTAGTTCAGGCGAGCCCTCTGTTGACTGATGTCAACTCCCTTAAGGACGGATCTGAACAACCGGGGGTCATGATCTCTGATCAGTTCAAGTGCGATGTGTAGAACAACTTGTCGTGCAGTCATGACCTTAGCTGTCGCTAGGAGGCGCACCATCGTCCTCCGGCATGGACACACGATGATATAACAAACAGTTCTAAAATTGCCTGCTTAAAAGTAAGAACACAGGGCTTGAAGCAAGAACGCTTCCATGTCTAGATGTAGGACTAGTGTACTTTTGTACGTTAGTCGATTTCCAATCTGTCTAATTTCTCTGCAGTTGCTTTTATTACACAGGGAGAACATTGCTGCATTCTTTTTTTAAACCAACATCGTGTGACATTATTTTTTTGCAAGTGGACTACGCGAATAATGGCCGACTTGTGTATGTTGTTTGCTGTTGTCATCAGTCGTGTAGTAACGTAGCTATATATAGGTTTACCCAAAGGATCCTGCAGATCTGCATGAGGTCATGTTGAAACAGTGTTAATTCTAAATACGCTTCCAAGGGCAAGTTTTACAGGTGAAGGATGTTCTATCTGCTAGTCTTGTAAGACACGCTGTACAGAGGTTAAGATCTGACACCTGCTTGCAGAACTTCTCAAGCATTCAGGTGTTAAATTAGAGATTTCACCCATGACAAGATATCTGTCAGGCGCCCTAAGCCATGATGTAAACAAGTCCAGTCAGGTCTTTACGTTGTAGGATGACCACTGCAATTGCCTTAAGATGCAGGAAGATTCCATTTAAATTTTCCTCGATAGTAAATTTCAAAAGAAAAGATTTGACCACTGGTAGAAGAAATTGAAAAGCCCACAGTCAGGAACAGATCATTAGTTGTATTGTACATAAGCAGTTTGAAAACAACAAATACTTCCTAAGCCTATTGTTGACAGCCATACCTTCTACTGTGGAGGTTGAAGGTAGTGTCGTTTGTTCAGTATACATATGCATATGCATATACAGATCTTTTCATTTGAGAGAAGAAGGGCCAACGTTACTACTTGTTACCTGGTAAAAGATGGTCCACTTCTAACGGAGTCTCAGTAAACACCTGTCTCAAGGTCAAACGTCAATCGTGTAACGACCCTGTCCGGCTTAGTCTGTTGACCTAACCTTTGACCTATGTGCTCTCACGTGGATCACATTTCATCTTTACGTTTGCCTCTGTTGACTAAATAAAGATTATCAGGTCACAACCAGACAGAACCGGTTATCTCAGTTTAAAGCTTGAGTTCCTTTTATGTATTCTTTTGGTTGAAATTATTACACACAAAATCAGAAATCATACCAAAATTATACAGAAATTATGTGGGAAATGGGAATTCTACAAACATTTCACTTAAATGAATTCTAACTTCTGAACATTTGATGTGTCGAGAAGTACTTATGGAATAGCTAGGGACATTTGGGATAGACGATATTATAACCAACTAAGGTTCCTAACTACATTTAGTTAGTATTTTCTTTATCGTGCAAGTGAAACAACACCAGCTGTCAGCTGTCAGGGAGGTCATGTAGCAAAAACACCTTTGAAAAAAACTAAATACCAAAATAGCGTCCATGTCTCTTCCCAGCACGAAATAACCGTCAGGTCATTGCCCTTTGACAGGAATCAAGTTCAAGTTCGACCCGAACACGGCGCACCGCTCCCTCAAGTTCTCCAACAAGAGCACGGTGGTGTCACGTGACGTGGAGGGCGCCAAACACCGACACGTGCCGAAGAGACCCGAACGGTTCGTGGACGGTCCGTACCGAGCCGGGAACCCGCTCGTGCTGGGGGACGTCGCCATCACCAGCGGCAAGCACTACTGGGAGGTCTCGGTCAACGAGAGCACCATCTACATCATCGGGATCGCCTATAGGTGAGGGAATTTCTTTTGGACGAATTTTTTTGAGGTAAAAATGCCTCCGTCTCTGAGGCGTCGCCAAAAAGACACATGGACTCTCTTCAACCATTCTAGCTTCTAAGGTCTGAACACACAAGAATTCGTAGCTTTCAGACCTCCATGAAATATCTAAATCTTGTGTGACTGTGTCCTCTCCTCATTCACCATGGTGTCTTTCTTTATAGTGCAAGAGAAACAACACCAGCTGTCAAGGAGGTCATGTATTGAAAAAAAACATCGATACCTGAGAAAACAGAGCACTACGAGATGTAGATGTGATTATCCATTACAACCTGATGGACATGCGGAAACACACAAACACACACACAAACACACGCACGTACTCACATACTAGTACCAAAAACGATACCTACCTCCACTTTTCGGCATGGAGGTAGAAATGTGATGTAGATTTGACAAACTAGTTCTAAAAATCTAAATTCACTTTATATATATTTCCTTACAGAAGTACCCGCCGTGACGAGCGGCTAGGAGACAACGCGACCTCCTGGATCCTGGACCGTACCGGGAACGACTACGAGACGAGACACGCGGGGAAGCCGCACAAACTCAAGCCGGACCCGCACCCGGCCAGGATCGGCGTCCTGCTCGACTACGAGGCCGGCAGAGTGTCGTTCTTCGACGCGGAGACCAGGAGGAAGCTGTACACGTTCAAGGACCACTTGGCGAACCCCGTGTGCCCGGCGTTCGGTGTGTGGGACGGCGAGCTCACTCTGCACACCGGCCTCAAGGCCATCAAAGATCTGGAGAACCAGCCGAGCTTCAGTCGGTGACAAAGGAGCAACACTGGTCTGTCTTTTATTAGTCTCTATCAGACTAACACCGCGGGATGAAAAACAGTGAAATTAAGTCAAACAAGGTGAATAATTAGCCAGGGGAGTTTGGCCACTATAGAGTTCTTTATCCCTCCCGCGGACTGACCCTCCTGGCTAACTACTATTTCTCTCTTTTGCCCGATTATTATACGATCCGTATCTCCGTAGGAAGGCCCGGTGGTGGCCACCTGACCTATCTGTATCTGATCTTCGATTAAGACCTCCGCCTGGCGGTAGTATTGTGAAGGGCAGCCTAGAGCAAACGGTTCGGACGGAAGGAAGGACTGCATGCAGACTGATGCACTGCACTGATGAACTCTACTTTCGATAGCAAACTACATAATTCAAGTTAACATTTGCATTGGCACGGAAAACGCTCAAACTGAACTGACCAGTATAAAACGAAAACATGCGTGACTACAATGCCTATTAATTACGATTGCTATACGTAATCTTTAGATTTTCATTGCAGCACATAAACGTTGAATAGACAAACTTATACGTCAGTTCTATCACTTTGCTGCTGCTATCTGTTGAGATGTCATGTCTTTTTGAAACTGAGCCTTGTGAAGTCTTGCTGACCGGTTATTAAATCGTCAATGACAAACATGTATCGTCTCATACATACGTTTTCTACACTACATACATTTTCTACACAACGCTCTCGTACGTAGACATTCAATTCCATTTCTGTAGCCCAGGAGGTTATATGACCTCTAGATCTTTGCTCTATATACATATATCCTCTCACTGCGTGTCTTTTGTAAAAGGCTTTGTCTATTGACAGAGCAAATTGGTGCTAAGTACAAACATTCCGTTGATATTTCCAAAGGTCAAATATCACAGTCACTTACATGGATGACTCAATGTTAACATTACCGTTGAACTGAACACACACGCACACACACGTTGAGCGCTAATCAGGCTAAGGCGATGCCGTCCACATTTTCTTGAAGTCTGTTCACTGATCCCTAAAAAGTCAGAAGAAGCGTGATCTTCAAGTCATTTCTACAACAACATGATTGTCTGGTGACAAGAAGCAAACGTTGAGGTACAATTGTCTTTTATATATCTTATGAATGAGGCTATCTTAACAACGTTTTTGTCGTGTGGTTGTGCAAAGTCACCTACTGGATGAAGAGGAAATGTGCCGAAATAGTTTCGTCCAACTTCGAACACATTTTTTCCTTTGACAGAAGAAACATTCTTAGTCTAGTATTTGGCATTGAAAACGAGAACCGATACGGAAATGCTCTATTAAGTACGTAATGAACGATAGGGACAATTGATATGCAAGTCATTACTACAGTCCAGTCACACTCATGTATACAAACAGCAAATTACGTACATAATGATGAAATAACAACAGTAAATGTAACGTGCACACGTTATCTATATTACTGGCATGATCCGGAAATACATTAATCTTTCCCTATAGTGAATGACATCAATACGCTAAAGGAAACTGTGTTACTAGGAAGGCCCATTACGAAGGCCCATAGGTACACTTAGCATTTTTTATTCCACTTTGTATTTTCTATGGGTACTTTGTATTTTCTATGGGTACTTTGTATTTTCTATGGGTACTTTGTATTTTCTATGGGCACTTTGTATTTTCTATGGGCACTTTGTATTTTCTATGGGTACTTTGTATTTTCTATGGGTACTTTGTATTTTCTATGGGCACTTTGTATTTTCTATGGGCACTTTGTATTTTCTATGGGCACTTTGTATTTTCTATGGGCACTTTGTATTTTCTATGGGCACTTTGTATTTTCTATGGGCACTTTGTATTTTCTATGGGCACTTTGTATTTTCTATGGGTACTTGTTTTTTTCTGTGTGTACTTCGCGAAGTTTTTTTGGTGGCTGGCGAAGCGACATTCATTTTGCTTTGATGTGGATGCTCCCATTTTTATTATGGCGGTATATTTCTATTTACCATTCTAGGCAACTAAATTTATTTTAAACCTATTAAAACATAATATACTTTACACTTTGAGAAAATTTTGTTTGTTTTGCATGCAATGTTCCACACGTTTATTAATTAGGAGTATCAAATAGTGATTATTACATCCTGGCATAGATTATGTTAATGTAGACACAGGACCATACTATTTTCGGGGGTGCTAGGACATATTGTTCAGACTTCCGTCAACATTTCCGTAGCGATATATGGTAAATCACTTCCTCGCTGAATGTTAATTACTCCTTTGTATTAAAAAAAGCCCGTAATCTAAAGCGAGGGTTCATTGCCAATGTTGGGAAAAAATTGCATTGCGGTTTGCTGCCCTCCTTCCAACCGCGAACGTTCATCACATGCAGTTTACGTAGGAAATATGGACAATATGCCGTTTCAGCAAGGAGGTTAAATACAAGTATTGTATTCAACCTCCTTGGTTTCAGTAAATAACCTGACATCTAAAATTGTTCATTTATGAAGTGCAAAAGCGTGAAACATAGGCCGTAAGCCATGGAGGTCGTTGACCTTTGTTGGAACGCCCCCTCCCCACAAAAGTGCCAATTCATGTCACTACAGCACACATGTAGCTTACCACACGATTAGACGGTCAACCTAGAGTGTAATTTGAGTTTCTGTGAATATTTCAATAATTTTAGATGTCAGGTTATTTACTGAAACGGCATACTGTCCATATTTCCTACGTAAACTGCATGTGATGAACGTTCGCGGTTGGTAGGAGGGCAGCAAACCGCAATGCAATTTTTTCCCAACATTGGCAATGAACCCTCGCTTTAGATTACGGGCTTTTTTTAATACAAAGGAGTAATTAACATTCAGCGAGGAAGTGATTTACCATATATCGCTACGGAAATGTTGACGGAAGTCTGAACAATATGTCCTAGCACCCCCGAAAATAGTATGGTCCTGTGTCTACATTAACATAATCTATGCCAGGATGTAATAATCACTATTTGATACTCCTAATTAATAAACGTGTGGAACATTGCATGCAAAACAAACAAAATTTTCTCAAAGTGTAAAGTATATTATGTTTTAATAGGTTTAAAATAAATTTAGTTGCCTAGAATGGTAAATAGAAATATACCGCCATAATAAAAATGGGAGCATCCACATCAAAGCAAAATGAATGTCGCTTCGCCAGCCACCAAAAAAAACTTCGCGAAGTACACACAGACGTGTCTGTAGGTACTCCGGTATGCTTACCTGGTGGGGTCTCTGTGATCTCGCCGGGTAGAGCGGTATTTTTATCGTCTTGTACGATTTATCGTTTTGTGCGCCCTTCATTGGGTTATTATTTTTTGTTTGGTTCGGTCTACCATTAAACAGTGCCCATAGAAAATACAAAGTGCCCATAGAAAATACAAAGTGCCCATAGAAAATACAAAGTGCCCATAGAAAATACAAAGTGCCCATAGAAAATACAAAGTACCCATAGAAAATACAAAGTACCCATAGAAAATACAAAGTACCCATAGAAAATACAAAGTGGAATAAAAAATGCTAAGTGTACCTATGGGCCTTCGTATGTTACGTATATGTACAGCCAATACATGGTAATATATCTCCCCACACTGCGTCGCCCTTCTGACACACAAAGAACAACACGGCCTTATTTGTCGCACGTTACCGACAGTGTCACATCGCGGCTTTATTACACAGCCTCTGGCCACAACATTGAGCTGCTGTGCTCGGCCGGGACCGGGATGGAGTCTCTCCGCCGCCGGCTGACTCCCGATCTGTTCCGCCTGGCGTTACGTGGCGACCGGCAGGAGCCCGAAGGTGAGTCTAGTCTTGGGTACCCTGGATGTCAGACCCATAGCCCACTAGGACCAGAGTAGCCATCGTGGATCAGGGCCTAACTGAGTGGTTGGGGGTGGGGGGGTTGTGGTATAATTTCCCTCCGGGCATGTTGGACCTGGAGCCGAGGAACAGTCCTGTGTAGGCCCTGGAAACATTCTGGCGCCCAGGCTAAGCCTGAGGTACATGTACGTCGCACGTGTCATGATTAGGAGAGCACTGCAATGGGGGCAGGGGCTGACAACTCAGCAAGTCATTGAACTATGCAACCCAAAACAAGCGTGTTACCGTGTATTGAAATCGATGATGGATTGTTTCGTAGCATAGAAAATATTTGCCTGTCAAGTGTACGTGGTGTACATACAGATGGCTATATTCATTGTAGGTCACACACCATAGGAAAATAGGGGGAGGGGGTACATGGGAACCGACAATGTATTTTAGAAACGTGTATCCGTCAATACCAACAGCAGTTGCACAAATTGATTTTTGTCCTTTCAAGCCTTATTGGAGCCAAAACAGTGCGATGCTTATATGTTACGTTGATCCTACACCAACGCACATTCCCACGGTGTATTATACTTAATACCATGGCTCTACTTGGGATAACGTTTCGAAGCACAACGAAGTGGGCGATTTACTATTTAACGTAATGCATAGCGGAATACAGACCTATCTAAGTCATTCATACAATGAATAGATCTTAGAATAAAGCTTTTGTATGCGAACGTATTTCTTGTTTTGAAACAAGAAAATGTGATTGAAGAAATGTACCGGTAAGTGACTGTTTACACGTGTAGCTAACGGTAGCCATAGCACGTTGACTGATGCTGTTTTTGTTGTAGCCATGTGAAGTTGTGGGAACGTAGCCAGACTATGCGCTACATTTGGCTCCGTGATTAGACGGCAGGCTGCCAGCGCGTCTGAGTTGACCTTGCGATGCCGGAATAAGGGTGTCATATGGTGGGA